ACGGCCAGCTGCGTAGTCCTAGGAGTCCTGGACCCTGCGGCTTACGGACCTTGCGGGCCATGTGTGCGTGCAGACCCAAACCCCAAAAGGAGGAGAAGCAATTATGGCTGACCGTTCCCCATGGGGAGGTGCTTTCCTACTTCCTCTCTCTCTCCCGCTTTGTCTCCTGCAAGTACTCATGCCCTCTGGCAAATTAAAAAAAAAAATCAAACCAAAGAGAAAAAATAAGAGGCCACCAAAATTATGCTTCACTTGGCTATTCTGAGCAGTCTTTCGGGAGCAGAGGGGCTCACAAAGCATCAGCCGTCCCATCGCCAGCACTCGGCCCTGCCAGGAGTCGGGCTTCAGGAGAAGCAGGGATGAGTTACGTCACCCCATCACGGCAGCTGTCTCGTGTGGCAGGAGCTCGGGCCTGGCATCTCTGTTAGCATGCACATGTGAAGAGCAGCTTAGCTTACAGGTAACTGCTAAAGTCACATGACTGTCAAACCAGCATTGAGAGGTTGCATAACATTTTACTGCAATCTTTAATTTTAGGGTTTTAGCTCTTTAAAAGAGGAAGGTGGTCCATTTAAAGCCCGCCTGGCTTTACAGAGGTACAGGCTGGGCTAGCACACCCCCTGGGACACGCTGGAACTTGCCTCTCCCACCCGACCACCAGAATGGTACAGAGGGTCTTATTTAGAGACAAGCATACTGACTCAGGAACAACCTCCTACCTTAGCTATTTCTGGGCCTTTATTGATCTAACTGAAGAAAAAATGTGACAGCAGCAGAGGAGTGGATAAATTTACACTTTATATCTCTAAACCATTTTTGATTCTTTGAAGAAAAGAGAGGGGAATGTGACATAACATTTAATTTATGATTAATCAGTCATCTGCTCCTTTATTACGGACCCGCCTCATTTCTAAACACTGTAACGGTCTGGTCAAAATTCATTTCTGGCGGGACCAGCAGTTAGCGTAATGGCTATGTCACTGGACTCCCACGTAGTCGACCGTGGTTCGCATCCTGGACCTGGTGGCTTAAAACTCACGCCAGGCGCGTGTGCGTGCGTGCCTAAGATCCCAAGAGGAGAATGGAGGAGAAGGGATTGTGGTGTGACCATCCCCCCTGGGGGGTGATTTCTCGCTTTCTGTCTCTCTGTCTCTCTCTGTTTGTCTGGCAAGCGCACGCACCCTATAGCAAAAACCTCTAAAAAAAAAATTTTCATTTCTGGTATAAGTATATCTTCTTGCCTTCGTTCCTAAGTTTTATGTTATGAATGAACTTATTGAGTTAAGTTTGTGAAATGAAAATCCTTATAAAAACCTTTAAAAGCAACCTAATTTTTTTAAAGAGAATTAAATTTATTTATTATTATTGCTATTTAATTTGCTATAGGGCACATGTGCTCATCAGAGTGTGAGAAAGTGAGAAAGCAAGCCGTCAAGTCCAGGACTCAAACCACGAATGGCCCCGTGGGAGTCCAGCGCCTTAACCACCACGCCACCTGCTGGCCCTAAGAGCAACCTAATTTTTTCATTAAAAAAAAAAAAAAAAGCACACATTAAAGGGGCCAGCAGGTGCCCCAGAGATTAGGAAAGCTGAATCCCACATGACCGACTCCGTGATTTGAGTCATGGACCTAATGGCTTGAGAACCATGCCAGAGGTGTGCGTGCATGCGTGCCCAAACTCTCAAGGGGAAAATGGAAGAGAGGGAATAGCAGTGCTGCCATCCTCCTGAGGAGGGACTTCTCACTGTCCCTTCTTTCTGTCTCTAGCAAGCACATGTGCCCTATAGCAAAAAAAAAGAAAGAAAAACAAAAACCTACACACATATAAATAAATATTTTTAAAGATTTGTGCTTAACCAGGCACTATGGTAAACAATTCACATTATTATCACATTTAATCAACATAACCACCTACTATGAGTAGATACCGACTGTCCATATTTTACAGATGAGAAAACTAAAGATGAGAAATGAATACTTTTCTAGACCGTTCACACGGATGAGCAGAAATGAGGGACTCGTGTCTCTGGAAGCCAGAGCTCATATCCAGCAGGGTCTGTGTGGGTCCCACCCTACATGGAACAAGTTACTTTGCCTCCATGGACTTTTACACGAGGCCATAATTGAAAGAAAACAACCAGATGCTTCTGTTGGTAACCCTGATAAATACAAAGTAAGGAATTCAAAGTGTCCAGGTTCTGGATCTAAGGAATCTAAATGAAGATAATCATGCAAATGCAACTTTTCTCCCACCTGCTAGCAGTCCTATATAAAATATATTCTACTTGGAGAAACGGAGGATATAAGCATTAAAACAAGGATGACAAGGGACCAGCAGACGGTGTGATGGTTAAGTTGCTGGACTCCCACATAGCCAACCATGGTTAGAATCCTGAACCTGGTGGCTCGAAACTCACACCGTGTGTGTGTGTGTGTGCGTGCGCACCCAAAATCCCAAGAGGAGAATGGGGAAGGGACTACAGCGTGGCCATCCCTCCTGTGGGTGATTTCTCCCTTTCTGTCCTTCTGGTGAGCGCACAAGCCCTATCACAAAAATCTCTCTAAGAAAAGTACAAAGCTATTTGTAAAGGAAAGCTCCTCCATTTGCGATAAAGGTATATAAAGGTATATAAAGACAGTGATTACAGAGCTGAAAAATGTACAGGGAGTCAGATGAGACCCGTGCCGCCCATCCCCAGTCAAGTGAGGCAAAGGACTTAGACTATCCATGAAAATCGGAACTGAACAGTCATACGGAAATAGCTTTCTATTTTAAATTCTTCAAATGAAGGAGGGATCTTTTCTCCCCCTAACCGCCAGAGGGTACACGGGCTCACCAGGGACAGAAAGATAAGGAAGAAAGCAGCCTCCAAGGGGGCATGGTCATATCACAACCCCGTCTTCATTCTGGGGATTCTGCTGAGATTTGGGGTACACTGCACAGGTGTCCAGTATGCTTTCCAAGCCACAAAAGCCAGGATTCAAACTGAAGTAGGCCTTGAAGGCTCCAGCGTCCGTAACCACTTGGCGCTAGGGGAAGGCTCTAGGAGAGATTGTTCGCAGTGGTTTGAGTCTCGGACCTGGCAACTTGTTTTCTTGCTTTCCCTCTCCCCCTACCCTCTCTCTTTTTTTCTGGTGACTGCATGTGCCCTGTAGCAAATTAAAAAAATAATAATGGTGATGATAAATAAAGTTAAGCAAATAGTTTTTGGTTTTGTTTTTTTGTTTTTTTTTTGAGAGAGAGATTTTCGTTATAGGGCGTGTACGCTTGCCAGAAAGACAGAGAGAGACAGAAAGCGAGAAATCACTCCCCGGGGGGGATGGCCACGCCGCAATCCCTTCTCCTCCATTCTCCTCTCGGGATCTTGGGCACGCACGCACACGCACCTAGCGTGAGTTTAAGCCACCAGGTCCGGTACTCAAACTGCAGTTGACTATGTGGGAGTCCAGCGACATAGCCATTACGCTAACTGCTGGTCCCAGTAGATAGTTTATTTTAAGAACAGACAGCCGTTAAAAAAAGAATGTTTTGGGACCAGCAGGTGGCACAATAGTTACATTGCTGGACTCCTATGTAGTCAAATGTAGTTTGAATCCCAGACCTGGCGGCTTAAACACACCAGGCGCATGTGTATGTGCCCAAAATTCCGAGAGGAGAATGGAGAAGGGACTTCAGCATGGCCATCCCCTCTGGGGTGTGATTTCTTACTTTCTGTCTCTGTCTCTCCAGTAAGCACACATCCCCCATAGCAAAAATCTCTCAAAAAAAAAAGCAGCCAACAGATGGCGTGGTCATTAAGGGCATGGAACTCCCATATGGTTGACTGTGGTTCGAGTCCCAGACCTGGCAACTTGTTTTCTCACTCCTCCCCCCTCACTCTGTCAAATTAAAATAAGTAAAGTTAAATAAAATAATAATTTATTAAAAAAAGAATGTTTCTTGGAAAGACAATTAGTAAATGAGTGGCAATTTAGAAAGCTGGCAAGGGTAGTTTTTCTTTCTTTTTCTTCTAAATTTGCTAAAGAGTGCATACACTCACCAGAAAAGGACAGGTGGGAGGAGGAAGAAGGGCGAGAGAGGTGAGAAAGTACTCTCTAGGGAGTATGGCCACACCAGTTTCCGGGGATTCTGGACACATGCACACGCACACACACTTGGTGTGTTTCTCAAGCCACTGGTCCAGGACTTGAACTGTGCAGCGGGACCCAGCTGCCCAACCGCTACACCACCAGCTGGTCCAAGGACAGTAAGTGACACAGATTCAAAGGACATAAAACAGACGACTGAGTCATAAAGTGCACTGTGTCTCCAAGAATGGAGACAAGCAAAGGAGAAATGGGGGAGAAGACAACGAAGGCATAACCACGAATGGCCAACGATGCAAGGGGGCATGAGTGGTGACCAACTACGTGGGCAAGTCAGTCCAGAAACAATAACGTGGAACACTAAGAGTAAAGTCAACGTGGCAATATGGAACTCCAAAGAATGATGAAATACAAATTTAACATCTAAATCTAAGAATAGCATAACAAGACTTTTGAATTTTTTTTTACTTATGGTCTGTACACTTGTGGGGCTTGGGGGAAGTCGTGAGAAAGCACCCCCTTGGAGGGATGACCATGCTACAACCCCTTCTTCACACACACACGCTCACGCACACACATGCCCAGTGAATTGTTCAAGCTGCAGAGGGGCCAGGGACGGGTAGGGCAGCGGGGGCAGAGAAGAGGCCTGGATGGAGAACCAGGTTACGTGGAAGCCAGGGAAGCCAGATTACCAAGTGCTCCCTTTTCTGAGATTAAAGAGTATTAAAACAACATAAAGTAGCCAAACACACAAGTAAAACCGTCTCTAGCTGAAAGATACACCAAGAATCCCAGAGGAAGGGCACTCCCTGCTCTGTTCAGAAGGAAACCCCAAGAATAATGTGCATCCCGGAAACGGAGCCCCTCTCCGCGTCTCCCACGGAAACCGCTTGGCCCTCCCGGCAGTACCCACCGTGTGGCAAGGTGATGCTGGCCCCGTCAATGATCGCTTGTGCCAGTTCATGATCGTTGCTCTCGAAAGCATGGGCAGCAGCCTTCAAGGCATCCCAGATCTCTTTGCGGCCTTCGAAAGCTGGTGCGGTATCCCAGAATTCATCCCTCTTGCTGCGCAGCTGCCCATCTGTCATAGGGTAATCGCTTTTCCATTTCGGTTTCTCCTTTCTCAAAGGCTGGTTACGACCTAGAGCAACTGAGACGGAAAGTAAAAGACGAATATCAAAACCTGAATTTATGGAACATATCAAAGGTTATCTGACTGTGCCTCTTTAGGATCCTATCAGCAACGTTATGGAAGCTTGCCTACTAATTTCTGCGTTCTGAAATCCCTCTAGCCATCTTAGAACTAGGAGAGCAGACAGACACACGAGATGGCTCTAAGTACAACTTACAGGGAGACAAGCCAGCAGCTCCTCTCCACGGGGTGCCCCCTCCAAAGGACTGCGAAAACATTAAGGTGGGAACAAACGCACCTCTGATGGGAGAGGTGGGGGACAGGGCATCCACGCAACACCTCTGTCTCTCCCCCTCAATTCTGCTGTGACTCTTAGACTGCTCTGAGGAAATTAAATCTTTTTTAAAATGAGAAGTTTCGTATTGTTAGTTAAAAAAAACAAAACCCTGCCTAGAAGAGCTGGAGTAAATGTTTCATCAGGCTACTGTGGCAGGGCGCAGAGCAGTCAGGCTGGGTGGGGGCTGGCTCTCTGGCCTGGCGGTTAGGGCGGCCGGATCCCCCATGGCAGACTGCTCAGAGGGCACGGTCACATGGGTGCGTTCTCCCTCTCCCTCTCCCCCTCCCCCTGTCTCTCTGGCAAGGGCACACCCACTAGCAAAAATGAAAAAGTCAAGGGATGCCAGAAAAGAGAGCAAGTTACACGGGGAAAACCAAACGGCGACAGTGGCTGGAACCTCAGGACCTACAAGACCAGGAAGTAGGAGCTGAGAAGCCCCAAAGTGCTTTCCAGTGTCCAGAGGAAGAATGCCAAACCACCAGGTCCCTGAATGCTCCCTCTGCCATCCTGCTTCGAACATCTAAGAGCAGGGAACACCTTTCTGTAACTCCAAAAGGGGCCAGATTAGGAAGGAGCAGGCGCAGGCAGGAGCAGCTCACTTTCCGGGGAGAACGAGGAATGGAACAGACGATTCCTTACACTGAACCGAGGGGTAGCTCTCAACCACAAGGGGCAGGAACTACAACCCACTGCTCTAGTTTCAAGCCGAGAGGAGAAAACAGGGCAAGAGCCCGCTTGCGTCCGCCTGTCCTGAGCGGAGCATCGCCCTCGGAAGTGGCCCAGGGCAGCAGTGAGGGGCTCATCTGACGCGGCAGCCCTGCACCTCGGTACTGCCTTGGCACATGACCGCTGGCCCATTTTCACGGGTCACACCGAAATACAAAGTCAGGTTCACCTACGGCACCATAGATTTTACAGTGTCATAGATTTTTTTAAAAAGTTTGCTAGGTGAGAGAACAGGTAAAAGAAAATAGGAGTCTGATGAGAAGATACGAGTGCTGAGAAAGAGTGGGTGGGGAATAAATGACAGAGCTGGTGGGAAGAAGAGGGGTGTGTGTCAAAACTCAGTGTTCTATATTTAATTGCAGGAAGAATAGCAGTTCAAGCGAAATTACTCACAAGCTGGTCCTAAAGCACCCATGAAATTAACTAGCTCCCTCCTTGGTGAGGGCCAAGTGAAATCTGGGCCATGCCGAACAGGAAATAAATGGGCCTGGCCCCGCAGGCAGTCTCTACACCGTCCCCAGGCTGTGCTCCCAGACATGGATTAAACCTTATCTCAAGGCTTATCTCGAGGCAGCTGACTTTGGGTCTCCTATCCTCAGCCTCAGGGAGGGACCCCACGCCTCCTCCAGCGGCTCCCGGCTCCCACCGTGCCTGTCGGGCTTCTGCCTTGTCCCAATGGATGCTCAGCAGGTGAACTCCAGTCTGGAGAGCAGGGCAGGAGAGCCGCCCATGTAGGAGCGGGATTGAATCCGCAGCATGTATAAGCACCTACGAAGGCCGTGGGCGTGCCCACCAGGTTTATCCAAACGTGAGAAACACAATCCCTAGTAAGGACTCTGCTTGGCATCTTCTACAGCACGACAAAGACAGAGAGGGGGCAGCTCTCAAAAGGGTGTTCGGAGTACGTCCGGGGATCACAGCCCAGCCGCCAAGTCCGCCGACAGGGGAGCGGAGGTGAATGCTGTGTCCTGCCACGCTGCCCTTTAGGAGAGTTATGAAAGTTTATGAACGATACTTGGAATTAATTTTTTTGGAGATTTATGCTATAGATTCAGAGAGACAGAAAGTGAGAAATCACCCCCCGGGGGTGGCCAAGCCGCAATCCCTTCTCCTCCATTCTCTTATTGGGATCTGAGGCAGACACACACACATGCCTACCAGGAGTTTCAAACTTTCAAGTCCAGGACTCGAACCATGGTCAGCCATGTGGGAGTCCAGTGACATAACCAGTATGCCATCTGCTGGTCTGCAATACTCAATATTAACTTAATGAACAGAAGTGGAAGGGAGGATGGAATAAAATATCTATTTGAATGAGACTCAGATATCAATTTGAATAAGGTTTCAGGTCTGAGTAGCTCTGAGGAATCATCTAGCCTCATGTATATTAAATGTACCAGAGAGAGACCTTAGCATAAATTTCCCACCACTGAGAGACTCAAAAGGCAGAGGCAAAACCACCACGAAAACCCTCCAGAATCTCCACACTGCAACTGAAGTAGCTGGAACAGGCCCTCGGAGAGACCCGGCAGAAACAATTCACAACAAAGGTAGAAAATACTTTTTATTTTCAGAAAATATCCTCTTTTCTCCCTATTAACCCAGATTTTCTACTCCTTACAAAAACTTACCCACAACTCACCACCTCCCGCAAAGCCTTTTCTATTTTTGGAGAGGCTTTTTATTTTTGCTATAGGGTGCATGTGCTCGCCAGAAAGACAGACAGAAAGCGAGAAATGACCCCCCAGGGGGATGGCCATGCCACAATCCCTTCCCCTCCATTCTCTTCTTGGGATCTCGGGCACGCACGCACACGCACCCGGTATGAGTTTAAGCACCGGATCTGGGACTCAAACCACATGGGAGTCCAGTGACAGAGTCATTACGCCATCTGCTGGTTCCCCAAAGCCTTTTATCTTTGTTTGGAGAGGTTTTTGCTATAGGGCGTGTGCGCTCGCCAGAAAGGCAGAGAGACAGAGAGATAGAAAGCGAGAAATCACCCCCCAGGGGGGATGGTCATGCCACAATCCCTTCTCCTCCATTCTCCTCTCGGGATCTAGGACATGCAGTCACAGGCGCCCGGCGTGAGTTTAAGCTGTTGGGTCTGAGACTCAAACCGCGGTCGACTACGTGGGAGTCCAGCGACACAGCCATTACACTAACTGCTGGTCCCCCAAAAAGCCTTCCCCCCCTCTTGCCATAGGCATGTGTGCTCACAAGAGAGAGACAGACATGGAGAGAGGAAAGTGAGAACTCACCCCCCAGGTAGGATGGGCATGCTGCAATCCCTCCTCCTCTATCTTCCTTTCAGGATCTTGGACCTGCACGCACACGGGTGCCCTAGTCCAGGCCTCGAACCGTGCAGTTGGCCATATGGGATCCAGTGCCTTAACCACTGCCCCTCCTGCTGGTCCTCTCCAAGCCTTTTAATCAGATCAGCTACTCCTTACCTTTCCTTGCGACCTTTGTGTCTTCCCACTCTGACTACCGCACTGGAAGCCCAAGGGAGCCGTGCTGCTCAGATGGAATTCAGCGCGTACTCTCAAATACGCCGCCGTGCGATCGGGGCAGACCAAACACTCCTTTCGATATTTTATTCAGAAGACAAATCGGGCCAGCTCAGTGGTGCGGTGGTCCTGGCAGGGGTCCTGGCCTGCTCACCTGAACAAGCAGCACTGGCACACGCACACGCACGCACACGCACGCAGGCTGCGCTGGCTGGAAGCCCACGACGCCCCGCTGGCCGCACTTCTCCCCCGTGCTCTGTGAGCACATGCGCTCTCATGGCGAGTGAGGAAAACAAGAAAAGTGACTTTCAAAATGGGGATTACAGTTGTTTCTTGCTTTTGGCTTTTCTTTGAAAACTTTGATTCCAAGTCCCCCTCCCCCTTCTTTTTAAAATCCTTTCATGAGAGCAAGCAAGAGTGAGTACAGAAGACAGGCGCCAGGACTGGCTCCCATCACACTGCGATCCCCTCCCCAGTGGGCCCGCCAGCAGAGTGACAGGACAGTGCTCGCACACCTGCCTGTCCTGTGTGCTTCAGGCCAATCTGGGATCTGAACCCCATCCGCCCTGTGACCTCAGTACTGCGGAGCGGCTCACGAGTCACCTGCGCCACCACAAGAAGGCTGAAACCTTGACTTACTCTGTGGCTCTTCAAAGGGAAGGTCATTTATAATCAATGGATACGGTAAAAATAAAGATACGATCTGAGCAATACACTGAGCTGTCGGGAAAATCATGACGCATTTTGGCATAGAAAAATACACCTCGACTTTGCCGGTGACCTAATAGCTCTAATGGTTTGAAAAATGGAAGCATCGATTCCCCAATAAGGGGATTTCAAAAAGTTCACGGAGGGGAGGGGCACAGGCAGAGAAAGCACTCCCCGAGGGGACGGCCAGCTGTCCTGCCTTTCTCCCCAGCTCTCCCTCCTGGGGGGGGTGGGGCGCCTAAGCACCTGCACGTTTCTCAAGCCACTGGCCCCGGATTCAAACCACACTCAGCCACGTGGGCTCCAGTTGCTTACGCACCACACCACTGGCTGGCCCACTCATGCTTATAACCTAAAGCTTATAAAAGTTAAGCTTTTTAAGGCATCATCATTTTAAGGCAGGTATGTGGTTTTGAATGCTGTCTGAGGCGGCTCTGCTGGTCCTGAGAGAGTAGCCACTTACTAACAAACTGAGCACACCAGCGGGCGAGAGGCCAGCACACTGCATCGCAAGACAGCTGCAGAAGTCCTTGGCAATTAAGTCACCTCCCTCAACAAAGCGGCTCTATAGACTGAACGTTACGTAAGATTGCCATGAAGGGACAGGATCCATGGCTCGGTGGCTAGGGAAGCTGGAAGCCACGTGGCCGACCATGCGGTTTGAGTTCCAGACCTGATGACTTAAATATCATGTCCAGGTCTGTGTGTACTGTCAGATAACCTGAAAGAAGGGCACCATG